AAAAAAAAAAAACCTTGTATATATTCCCAGTTTACAAATGTATATCTGTTTGTGAAAATCAATAACTATATTTATATCATGTAAATAAATGTGGAGCCCGTAGAGCAAATTTGATAACATACAATCATTGCAAAGAAAACTAATAAAGGGAACTAAGGTGCTTAAAACTCGGTTCCGTTAAAAATCACTTAGTTAACGCTTCAAGTTTGAGCTTGTTTGAAGATCATTTAGTTCACACTCGACCTCTGCTAGTAAAGCTCCGAAATATAAACTTTTATGTAAACAAGTCGAGCTCTATTCGACCTCTGCTAGTAAAGTTTCGAAACATAAACTTTTACTTAAACAAGTCTAGCTCGAGTTTGTTTATCGACATATTTGGTTAACAGTCAATTTGCCCAGGCAGATCTTTTGGTTATAATAATTCTTTACTCATGAAAAATCCCAAAAATCTGTCAAGTAGTTAGACAAGAGCATTACTAATGTAAGTCCTTGACAACTGTTGGCCAGGTAGATAGATCACACCCAAATCATGTCTTAAGAGAGTAGTTGGCCTAAATCTTTATTAATTGATCTCTACCATCGACCCACATTGGCTTTCTCATTCTTATCAAAACAAGTAGTAATTCATATGTTGGTTTTCAAGGATGGATCTCTTCAATTAATATATTGATAATATTGATGATATTTGTGTTGATAATATTGATGATATTTGTGTTGAGTTAAAAAAAGTTATTTAGTTAGAATATTGATTTTTTTTTATTTTTTTTTTGTTTTTGTATGCAAACTACCCTCAATATCGTTAAACTTTTTTTTTATCGTTAAATGTAAATATATATAAATCAAAACTGGGTTCGAACAACCGATCAACTGCATACAAAAGCGTAATGAGTAACCACAGGCCGGATCCTCATTCGTGAGATAGATATACCAGGCAACCACACATCGATTATTAATCAAAAATCATAACATAATGCAAAAGTGTCTCAAAGGATTCTTCGGATCAGTGTTCCCGTGCTCCAAATCTTCCTGGAACCCAAAAGAAAAATTCCTGCAACTTCTCCAAATTCATCACATCATCCCGGGTGGACGGTCACCTCAAAACCTCAACAAACAAGCATAAAAAAATGACTCTCAAAGCCCCAGGCTCCTCCTCTCAAATTCAACAAGCACATTCGGATAAGTAGCAAATATAGTTCGATAAACATGGGTTTTTACCTTGAGGATAACAAGACTCGGGCCTTGGTATTTATTCTCAAACACCAACCGATTCCTAGCATTCCAAATGAAGTAAACGGTAGCCGCAAGCGCCGCTTTCTGTAATTTGGTTTGCCAACTGTTCCCTTTCGCCTCATTTTTTATCCATTTGAGAGATCCTTTGAGTGTGGACGGCCTATGTCGGAGGGTAATCTAAGTATGAATCTCCCCTCAAATCTCCGAGTTAAAGGTACATTCAAAGAATAAGTGGCTCGAAGATTCATTCACAACTCCGCATAGAGGGCATAACGGATCTTCATCAAGGAACTCAAGATGGTCTTTTGTCCGGAGTCGATTAAGCACTCCAAGCCATAGAATGAAGGAGTGTTTAGGGGTATTGCAGCCTCCCAAATAACCCCACTCCATGGCCTCGTGGGTCCTCTAGGTTGTAGGAAGTCATAGCACTTACTAGACCCGTCTTGTCTATCTCGGGAGTTCCAACTCGAAGAAGGGCTTCCGCTCCTCGTTCACTCCCCGCTCTTTCAACCAAGCCTTGTCGGATTTCGAAGAGGGACTTGAAGAGAGGTGAGTCTTTCGGTCTAACTTCTCAATTCCAAATGGAGCTCCCCTTCAAATAGATGTTATGTATCCATTTGTGCCACAAGGTATTCTTCTTTGCTTGCATGTTCCAAAGCGTCCAGGTGAGCAACTCTCGATTCTACGCATTCAAATCCCTAAGCCCCAAACCACCCTCCAAGCGCGGTAGATAAAGGTTATCCCAAAAGCCACAAGAGCGCTCTTCGATCCCCAAAGGAACCTTTTACAAAGTTGAGTGATTTTGGTTCTAACTATGCCGAGCAAGTGGAAGATCCCCATCCAAAAGCACACAATGCCTTGGATCACCGAGCGAAGGAAACAGTACGTCCGTTTCAATCTACCGGCGTAGGATAGAGTACGTCCATTCCACCGACTAAGTTGTCCTTCTATTTGCTCAATCATATCATCGAAGAGCCTACCCGTGATTCAGTCCACGGAGAAGGGGACGCCGAGGTACCGAAAGGGCATTGAGCAGCAACGTAAGTTGGTGTTGTCAAGGATTGTAGCCCGACTCTCGTCCTTGACATCGGCCAAGTATATCTTGGACTTTAGCACATTCATCTCAAGCCCTGACTTAGCTCCGAAATCTTTGAGGGAATCCATGAGAATTTGAATTGACGGTGGGTCCCCACGAGATAGAAGCATGAGGTCATCGGCGAAGGTTAGGTGCGTGATTTTTAATTGCTCGCACATCGGATGATAATTGAAGTTTGTGCCGGCCGCCCGTGTTGCTCTTGATAAGCCGAGTAAAGTATTCCATACAAATCACAAAGAGGAAGGGCGATAGGAGGTCACCTTGCCTTAGACCACGACCACCTTTGAAGTGACCCTTGAGGCTCCCATTGATGGATATAGAGTAGGATGGAGTAGTGACGCACTTCATGACCCACTTTGTAAAAATCGGGGGGAAGCCAAGGCCATCGAGCACTTGTTTCAAGAATGACCAAGAGATAGAGTCGAATGCTTTACGAAGGTCTATTTTCATGATACACCTGGGGGAGACCTGTTTCCTCAAGTAGAGTCGGAGTAGTTGCTGCATTAGGTGTATGTTGTCGGTCATACTCCTCCCTTTCACGAAAGCGGCTTGAGCCTCATCAATGATGGTGTCGAGAACTTCACTAACTCGTCTAGCAAGGATTTTGGAACAAATCTTGTAAACTGTGTTGCAAAACGCAATAGGCCGAAAGTCCATAACTTGCGAGGAGTGGGAGGACTTCGGAATAAGCGTGAGGGCCGTATGGTTCCATTGCTTGTGGAGAGAACCAGATCGGAAGAACTCTTGGATAGCCGCCACCAAATCACCCCCAATGATGGACCAACTCTTCAAAAAGAAAATAGAGGTGTAGTCATCCGGATCTGGGGACTTACCCCCTCAATGTCTCCAAGTATGTTCTTGATTTCGTCCTCGGTGACTAGGGCGATGAGGGCTCTACAATCATCAACTCCAACACACGGTCCCGACCGAAGGATTTGGGGGTCAACATCTTCTGTTTGAACTCCGGTTCCCAAGAGAGTCTCATAATAATGGACAAACTCTTTGGTAACTTCCTCCATGGAGTCGATAAAGGTGTCGTCTTCCCAGTTAATCGAGGCAATGAATTTCCGTTTTGTTCGCTTTTTGACCAAGCCATGATAGAATTTGGTGCATTTATCACCCTTTATTTGAAAGTTGCATTTGACCTTTTGTTGATAGAAGTGCTTCTCCGCTTTGGGAGCTCTTGTTGCGCAATCTTGAGGGCCTTCTTCCTTCTTTATCCTGGGAAGAGATATGTGAGAAGGCCTCCTGTTAAGAGCCTTAAACAAACTCTTAAGATTCTTCAAATTAGCCACAAGACGGAATTGCCTCAAACCCCGCCACCATGATCCCAATTGTTTTGGACACTCGGCAGAAACTTATCGTCCAACTTTTTTTTTTGTGATCGTTAAATAAATTTTATAGATCAAAATTTGTTTTTACATCGACCAATTTGGCACACGGAAGCGAAGTGGGCAACCACAACTCGGCCCCTCACTCGCTAATCAAAATGATGAGAGGCGAACCACAAGTCGGTTGCTCATCTCAATCAAAAGTGCAATAATCAATTTGTCCTAAATCTCACATGGGTTGGTGATGGAATGAGGAGGCTACGTCGAGCCACTCCCAAGAGCTTTTCTCTCAATGTCGACAAGAACATTCGGGTATAGTGCGAATATAGTCCTATAAACATGAGTTTGGATTTTCCGGATGATGAGTTCCGGGGATTGTACCTCATTTTCAAAAATCTTCCTATTCCGAGCGTTCCATAGGAAGTAGATCTTTGCGGCGAGCCCGGCCTTAGTTGCTTTTGTTCTCCAACCGGAGCCTTGGGATTCCTTCTTGATCCACTTCAAAGCACTCTTTAATGTGGAGAGTTGCCGTCTTAATCCGAGCCAATGCCGGATGCCAAGCCATACTTGAGCCGAAAGGGGGCAAGTG